GAAATAATAATCTGCTGACTACTGTATATGTTCAAGCAAGAAGAAAAGAGCTAAAGCTTTTGACACGGGCGGAAGGCCAGATACAAGAATCTATAAAACCCAATAGAGCGAGCCAACCAATTTAGCAATCTCCGAATCTGCCACAATTCTTCGATAAATAGTTGTGGACTGAATATAGTCTGTTTTAATTTTGCCTTAAAAATGAGACGTAGTATCATTTAAAGTTGAGCGTGTGTACCCTTTGCAGCCCTATGACGGAAATCACTGCTCCACCCCTTCGCTTTGCCCGTATATATGCAGAAGGGCTTAACAGATCTTGGTCAAACAACTTTCCTCTTAAAGGCATAGGTTGAGGATTAGGATAATTGGGATGATGCCATGCACTGTTTTCATGACAACTTGATGTCTGACTTTACTTCGAGATTCACTTTGCCCTTGTAGGCATAAAATGACTACCAAAGCAGGCGTATTTCCGCCCCCCTCAATGAAGAATGCGCGTATTCGTCCCAAGCTAAAGTCCCCTGTAATACAGTCTAACCTATTTAAATTCTTAATGAAGGGGTCAGGAGGAATCAATGTACAAATCCCGTGTTGTAGGTGTAATGCTTTGTTTATGCGACTACCTGACGTTTGGCGGTCACTTTAGAATATGTCTGGCCCCTGCACACGTGGGCTGGCCTTCGGGCCACGCTCAGGCCCCATTTGCCCTGTCGTCTTCCGAATACATGTATTCAACCTCACTTGTGCCTCCTCACCCTATGGGGAACCTCAAGACGCTACAGTTGGGACGTGCGAAGCCTCCCCAAACTAGAGATGGACATTCAAATTTTACCCTTATTTTTTACTATGCACTGAATTTAGCACGTAATGAAAAGTTACAGAACAAACCACTCCCAAAAATGACAAATACAAGATCAAGGGAAACCATAGACCTTCTTTTATTTAGTGCGAAGTGACATGAAAGGACATTTGTTTTGAATGTCATGTCATTTTCTTTAATGCATATGTTACGCCTGCCCATCAATACCTGGATTCGTTTTTTAACGTTTTACTGTTAGGAATTTTTGACTTCAAATGATTTTTGTTAGGAATTCTTAAATTTTTGGTATGTATTTATTTTTGGCCTGTGCCTTGTTTTATTGGTCCGCCTTAATGATGTCCAATTATATATCAACTTTGTCCTAGGTGTGTGCGCACATCTTGGTTTTATCGCTGCACAGTTGCTTCGTTGTCGGGATCTTGGATGGCAGTCATGTCTGACTTACCTCCTACGCAGGAAGTTGGAGACCTATCTACTCAAGATATCAATTCGCAGCCCGTCAGTCAGATTTGGGGTGGACTTTTTCCTCTCAAGAGGAAGATTCCGCATCTTGGTAGTTTTATTTTCAAGCAAACTATGATTTAGCTATGTCAAAGGAGTCTTACACTGTCGGTAGAGAAGGAAGTTGTGACATTGTTCTTACGCCTGAGATGTTTACTACCGGGCCGTTCTTGAGTGCTGTCAGTAAAGTTCATTTTCGAATCGCCAGAGTATGTCGTCAGTGTCATTTATATAGAATTTTAGGTGAATACAAATGTCAGTCCTCAAGTTTTTATTTACGATTTGAGCACGAATGGGACTTTCGTTAACAGGCAGAGGATAGGTAGGTTCATTGCCTTATCTTTCACTCGTAGGGAAGGGTCGTATGCAGCCTCTTTGTAACAATGATGAGATATCTATTGCGACCCAAAATTGTAAATGTAAGGTTTTTATATACTTGCTACAGTTTGTCCAAGGTTTTTTGTTCACTGACCGGCTGTCAAGTGACTACCCCGAGGAAGTGTCCTCGAAGTATACCATTTGCAGGTCCCTTGGAAGGTTTGTTCTGTCCTTATATTGAAGTGAAATTCAGGGGCGCATGTGGTGAAGTTCGCGTTGCTTACGCGAGGGAAACTTGTATCCAGTATGCAATGAAAATTGTCCCCAAAAGGACGCTATCTTCGCACGGTTCCCGTTTTGGTAACCGTGAATTGACGGAAGTTGAAATTTTAAAGAAGTTGAACCATGTTAGTTTAGCAAACACTTTCGATGCAGTTCTCGTCTATTGCTGTTCTCATACTCCCTTTTTTAGCCATGCATTGTAAAGATACATGATGTTATTGAAACCGAAGACACTCTCTTTATTGTCCTCGAGTTGTGAGTACTATGGTTTATTTCTGAGATCTTCTTTAGAGTTGAAGGTGGTGAGTTGTTTGATCGAATTCTCAATAGTGGTCATTTGTCGGAAGACGACTCCAAATTCTTCTTTTTACAAATTCTAATGGCAACGAAGGTGAGCAAAAGCCCTTCTTGTTTAGTTTTTAGTATCTGCATGATAATGGTATAACTCACCGAGACTTGAAACCTGAGAACATATTGCTTACTGGAAAATCAAACAGATGTCTCATCAAGATTACCGATTTTGGTCTATCGAAAATCGTCAATGACAATACAATGCTGCGAACTTTTTGTGGAACTCCTACCTACTTGGCACCTGAGGTTTTACTGACTGCTGGTAATGGTACCTACACTTCATCCATTGACGTCTGGTCTCTGGGGGTCATTTTATACGTATGGTAAGTGTAAGAGTCATTTTCCAGTTTCTTTTACCTCTAACTCGACCCTCTACTCCCCTTAGCCTTGTGGGTTATCCTCCATTTACTGATGAGCGAAAGGATTACGATCTGAAAACGCAAATTACCAATGGACTTTACGATTTTCCTGATGTTTACTGGAAGGGGGTGAGTGAGTCTGCAAAGGACCTAGTTAGAAGGCTTATGTGTGTTAATCCCACCGAACGCATCACGCTAGAGGTAAGTTAGAGGTGGACCTCCAGAAACAAACTTTCATTTTGTTGTGAGGTCTAGTTCATTTTAATTCTAATGTTTAGGAGGCACTGCTTCATCCGTGGTTAGCTGATCAGACAATACGTGATCAACTGGCCGATCTCATGAAAACCGCTGGTTTCCTCGACCTTGTGGATGGTGTTTTGGATGCGCATAATCTCGTCTCCTGCGTGAGGCGCGATAGGTCTTCGACGCCCGTTAAGTTGGATGAGAACGATAAAGGAGCAGATGAAGGTGAAAGCAACGACACCGTTTCAACCCTCAGGAACTCGGTATTTTGCGCCTCTACTTAGCATGACACTGATTTTCCCTTCCTGAGAATAAATGCCCTCTGTGTTTTCCACTTTTAGTCCGCTTCACGAAAGAGGTCTATTGAAGCAATGACAGATGAGGGCTGTCAATCTCAACTCAAGAAATCTGCATTTTGAAAACTGGAACGATCAGAATAATATTTTATACCCTTACACATAACCGAGGCATATCATCTTATTATCCGATGTCTAAAGACAACTCAAAAAGAAACTACTCCTGACGGATTAATCGTTTGAAATTCCATATTTATGTAACTTTCGATCCTCGCTGTACGTCTAATGTTCCTATAAGATTCCGCTATTTTATGCTATTGGTGATTTTGGTTGTACAGATGTCATTCATAGTGCGGGCGATCGACTTCTGGCTCCATCGGGGAATTGGACTTGACCAGCCTGTATGATGTAGGCTGATTGACGCTAATGTAGGCAGACCCCGTCTTGTCCTGAAATGGTATCTACTCAGCACAGACAATGTTTTTGAGACCTTACCACCACTGCATGACTCATGCATGTCAGCTGCCCGTTTAAGACAACAGGGGATACTGGCGGACATGGTCGATGCTTGGTTCGTGTTCAGTTAATCTCGGGGGATGGGTGCGGTTTTAGTGTTTTTCTACCGGCCTTTGCACCTGTGTCATCTGAATTTTTTCGGTATCTGTGGTGGGATGTTGTCTCTTACACTGGTAAGTGGGTAACAGTGGACGCGTCTGCCCAAGTGCGGGTTGTCTACGTCTAGCTGTTTTAATCATGGGGATTTGCGTGCCTCTAATATCTGTACCCTGGATGGTAAGGATTAGTGGAGATCGTCCTTGCTACATACTTGGCCTCACTGATGGCTCGACATCCAGATCGGCGTCATTGTCCTTTGAATCGACTACGACTTACTGCGTATGCAGTCGGATCCCCGGTCATGGTTTTCAAGGCATTGATAAGTAGTGATGTCTGGCTCTGGCAAAGCTGCTGGAGATACAGGTAGTCCGGGTGTGCATGAACGCTGGATGTTAGTACGCATAACACCACTTGTATACGAATTCTACTTTGGTGAATTTTGCTCAAACTAGTACCAGCGATAAGTTGTCAGTTTATGAAATTTGGTTACTTGTCTGTTATATGTTAGCTATATGGAGAGTATTAACGAAACTCTCCCGATGGAAATGCTTGTTAAGCAACCCGCGAACGGTTTGATGGAAAATCTGATAATAAAATGGGGAAGTTGAGAACTATCCCTAATATGATAAAAGTGGACGACCGAAGGATAAATGTTGCTAAGCCGTGGGAGTGAATTCTCGTGCTAATGGCAAAAGGCGATTAATAGGGAGGATTTCTACGGCTCCGCGACATAAGAGAGGCAAAAAAGAACCGATACAAAAATTCTAGTCTACTGGACATGTCATCGAATCCCACAGACAAGCATGATTCCTATATTCATGAATTGTTGGTTCTGTATTTCTCATAACATGAAAGCGACTGCCGTGGTACCACCAACTCTCATCCTCATTAGAGGAGTTCTGAAACACCCGCTGCGTGAATAGCATCAGTAAAATTACTTTGCCGAAAAAGAGCTGAAATTACGCTGCCGGAAGGACTGAGGATGCCGTCCGCATCCGACATCTACTACATGCTCGTGATTTAAGGACACGTCTCTAACATCAGAAGCGAGATCTGCCATGAATCGCCGGGCAAAATGTTTCCCGCAGTTTCCCCTACTGGCAATGCGACTTGACCTCGACGATGGGAAGGTGCACTAAATCTCGCTCACACGGGGCCGCTAGA